CCAATCTTGGACCAAAGCCTGGGTCTATTCAATCTTGATTGTTGCAATCGAAACAACTTTTTTGGAAAAATGATGATTCAGCTTAGGATCAGAATTCTTAGGCCCAAAGTACAATTCACTGGTGGACATTGATGTATAAAGTGGAATTTAGAAATCTGCAATGAACCTATCCATACTTTTCCGATTTTTTTACTGTAATCTATACTTTTAGATGGCATATTAAAACAATGGCGTGTTTACATTTTATTGGGGATCGTATACTCGTACTGTCAGAGGAAATCTCTTTTCATTTTATGTGCAACAGATCCATGGTCTTAAAAGGAAGTCTCTTTTTATGCAGTACAGTTTGATCCAAGGTTTTAAAAACCAGACGGGATACAGAACCGTTTTTGCCATCACTTCCTGGGTCAAATGGTCTGACTGTCCAAGTCGAGCGGACAGTTCGTTCTGATTTAAAAAATAAAATTAAAATAAAACAGTCAAAACTATTGTCCAGATCAACAGGTCATTGACCAAGTCAACGGTTTGTGGCCCAAAAACAGTTTTAGGGTGAAATAGAATCGGTTGCCTGACCAGTTGAATTAATGTATTATGGGCAGGCTTAGAGTTTGGTTTGGTTTTATGGCAGCAACATGCACCTTAAAGCACATCTCAGCATGCACTCCGAATGTCTTCTATACTTGTCATGGAGAGATGTTTCCAATGCACAGTTGGATATGCTGTGGGGTGCACTCTGTGGGAAGTGCTACCTACAAAGTATATAAGGTGCTACTAATGCGTATCCATAAGACAACGTTACAGCCGAAATTGGATCTGCTCCTCACAGAAGGTGCCTCACAAGCACATCCTACCATGCATTGGGAACATCTCCCATACTTTTAAGTTATTATTCACGGGAGATGTTCCCAATGCACAGTGAATGTGCATGTGAGGCGCCCGAGTGTGAGGAGCAGACCCCGTCACGTTACAACCATGCATTAGGAAGGAACAATAATTAATGTCTTGTGAGTAGGCTTGGAGTTTGGATCAGCTCTCCATAGAGCGCACCCCACACTACATCTTTGGTGCATTGTAAACATCTTCTGTACTAGTCAAGAGAAGAGGTTCCCAATGCAAATTTGTAGACTTTTGGTTGTAGCTAGATATGGAGTGTGATGGCAGTAAATAGTTTTAAGAGGCTGCAACTTGGGCCAACTTTGCATATAGAAGGTTAAGAAAGCCAACTTGAATTGGCAAGGTTACTTTAACGGTTTAGCACTATATATACATACACACACATATAATAATGGGAAAATTACCATCCCTATAATTGCAATTAATTTTGTTTTTGAAAACAAAACCAATACCCTTAAGTCAGCTTCATATTTTTTTAATCTAACTTAACACTTCAAGTTGGATTTGAACTAACCCAGCCAAGGTTGCAAACGAAGTATTTAAATTCCCTTATTTTAAATAGCATCTTAGCGGGTGAAGTGGTTGAAATGTTGAAGTATGAATGGCTTATAGCTTTGACTCGTATTGACTGAAGTTGAGGTGGAATTTCGGATTTGCTCCTCACAGAGAGCTCCAAACAATAACCTCACAGCACTTGGAGCCATATATTTAAAACATATCCATTGTTATAAATTATCATTCATGGGGAGATGCTTTCAGCAACACGCTTTGAGGTTGGTATAAGGTGCATTCAGTGAGGAGTAAATCCAATTTCTTAAGGTGGGGTTTATTATTCTATAAATTTTTATGTTTTATTTATTCGCTCAGGAGAGAGAGACTCTGGATCCCCTGCCCCCAAAAACTCTACCCACATCTAGGTTGAAATATTCGCATATATGACTGTGATATTATGTGGGTAGACGTGAACAGAATTCTTGTGGGTAAGAGATTTCCACGAAACAGTAAACTGGTTCGCTATATTCATCACATTATTTGAAAGATATTATAGCCATACATCAACAACATCACATTTGCAAGAAATGGTCATATAATTACCTTTGGACTGTCTCGATGAATAACAATTCAGTTCAAACTCGTGTTCAAGAATTCAAATACGTCACTGTTTTTCTTTTTATAAGATGCTTTCAGGTACTGATTTGGGCACACCCCGTTTAACAAATTAAACCACAAGACGTCGTAGAACACGAGTATCTTTATCAATCTAAAAAAATAAATAAATAAATAAGAGAGAAAGAGAGAGAAATCAAGTACTTTTCGACCAAATCAACGGTTTTCGTAAAACGGAATTGGTTACCCGATCGATTCCCGCGTCAACCGATCCGGTCCGATTTTCAAAACCACGCATTGAACCGACACAATGATTTATGCATTGACGATTGACCCTGTCTATTTTTGTCAAGTTGCAATTTTATATTCTTCAGCAACTAAATAAAATCGTGAATGGGGAGTTTGATAAACTTACTGGTCACTGTAGCATCTGTGAGTAGACTCATTTTAGAGTGTCCAAGTGACAATTTTAATGCAAGTGTCCCTGTCCCAAAAGTATAGGTACATTCACGTAATTTTTTGTTTTTAATTTCTCAGGCCTTGTTTGGATACAATTTTATAAAATACTTTCGTACTTTCATACTTTTGAAACCACCATTCAATAAAACTCTTGACTCTATGCTCGTCGTTGTTAGAGTCAGACCACCATCATTGGTTTCAGACTGTGAAACCACCGGAGACCGTCATTAGGGGTGAGCATTATTTGGTTAAAACCGAAATATCGAACTGAAAATTTCGGTTTTGTTTTTTGTTTTTGGATAATTCAGTTCAGTTAATTCGGTTTTTATATAAAATTTATTATATAATCTGTAATATATAATATACAATATATAATATGCTATATATTTAATGTATTATAATGAAATTCAATTTCATAATATATATTATAGGCTATAATATATAATATTTTATATATTAATTAAATTTGGTTTTTAACCGAATTCGGTTATTTCAGTTTTCTTGTAATTTGGTTTTGGTTCAGTTATCATTTTTTTATTTCAGTTTTTAAAATTTCAGTTTATTCGGTTTGGTTTTTAACCGGATAAACTGAATGCTCACCCCTAACCGTCATTGAAAGTACAGACACACGTGCTTTTGCCAAACAAAAAATGGTACTTCTGTTTTGGAAAACACACTTTTCAAAATATTTTACCCAAATGGTTTTTAAAGTAAAAATACCAAAGTAAAGGTATTTTATGTATTTACTTTGATATCTTTAAAAGTACAAAAGTATATTCAAACAACGCCTTAGTAGGTGTTTGGCATCGGTACTGGGAACATTGCACTATTTTCTCATAAAAACGGTGTTGGGCATGTGGAGTTGTAAGCACCTTTGTTTGGAACTAGTGCTGCCACATAGGCTGTTTTCTAAGAAAACAACATTGGTTTTGTTTGGTACCAGTGCTAGTAACAATGTTTTCAACATGGTCTATATTATCCTATGTCCAAGATGACGCCACATCATTGCACTACTGGTAGCAATGCACCATTTTCTCAGAAAACATTGAATTTGGCATTGCTTTAGACCATACTTTCCCAATTTCCAAGGCATGGTCTCAAACAACGTTTTTTTTTCTAGAAAACAATACCAAACAAGAGGGTGTTGTTTGATACTTGGGATTTCCTACTCACTCTCTACCTGACTTGAATTGGAGCCATACATCTCTATTATGAATTGAGAGATGTATGGCTACAATTCACGACAAATAGAAAGTGGGAAGGAAAAGTGAGTAGGAAATCTGGGAAGCACCGCTTTCTATGATGTGGCACCTATGTGGCTCTGTTTTCTCATAAAATGGCATTGGTGCCAAACATTGCCTTTGGCATCGATGTCGTTGCTCCAGAAAACGATGACACATTAGTGCCATGTCGGAAAAAATGGTGCTCCAAGAAACACCTATTTGTTTGGAACCATTTTTCCATAAAAAACGGTGCTCCAAGCCATGCCTTGGAAATTGAGAAGTCGTGGTTTGGAGCAATGCCGAATTTAGTGTTTTCTCAGATTACAGCTCGTTGATGCCAACAAGGACATGATGTGGCAATGATGCGAACTTCATATAATGGGTACTAGTGTTGAAAACAGACATGGAGCACTAGTACCAAATAGAAAGTATTGTTGTTGCTCCAAAAATCATTCTACATGACAACAATGTTTCCAAACAAAAAAAAAAAAAACACCTTTTTCTCATAAAACGGTGATGTATATGCAGCATCGGTGCCAAACATATACTAAATGCAAATTACTTTTGGGCGTTTAATTACTTGTGTGCCCCCACTCATTAAAGATAGAAAATTGGTGTGTGCAAAGACTACTTTTTCTTTTTTATTGCTCATTTTCTTACATGGCGGACTATTTGGCCAAAGTCAATAATTCAGTAAGTCCCACATCTCTGAAAGCAAAGGTTGGTTTTGAATTGAATCCGTCTTCCAAAAGGTTGTTTTTGAGGATGACGCAGTCATCTTTGTCATGAAATTTTAATAAAAAGTATTGATGGAAAGGACCGAGTCTCCCTTCCTGAGGGATGCAAGGGTTTTATAAGAAGCCTCCTCCAGCTATATCACCACCACCCAGAATTAGAACAACCATTCCTCCTCTCACTCTCCTCTCTTCTTCCCCAGAAATAAAGCAAGAATTCTTCTTTCTCCCATGGCACCCTCTAGCACCAACAGTTCAAATTATCATACGATCTACCATCTTCACAAGTTGACAGTATGGGATATATTTAACGTCTTAGTGTCGTGGAGAAGCTTAGAGAATTATAATTTTATACAGTACTGTCATCAACCTGCTGAGGATACTGAGAATTTGAAAGCTGGCTTGTTTATTGTTTTAGTCTGGATGCTTCAGAAGATGCTGATATGGTTTAATCGACCATTAAAAAGACTGGGTCATCTGGTGGAAGTTACCTTGAATTTGGTTTCTAGCAATGGAGGCATTGTCGAACTGTTTCTAAATACAATGTCAGGTATTCACTCTGCCACGGCTTTCACTTATATACATGGCCCCATTTCGTCACTTGGCAATAATAATCTGCATGATGGCAGCAAAAGTTGCGTACGAGAACAAAGCATATGCGAGGGACGTGGTCAATGTACACTGGAAGGTAATTCCTGTTGCTCTCTCAGTCTCTTGTAGTAGAATTTCTCTCTCCATCTCTCTCATGAATGTTCGCACAGAGCAATCTCAGTCTCACCATTGATGAAGGATAGGGGAGAAAAACTACAAAATAAGTGTATATTTTGTGACTGGTCTAATAATTGTGGTTTTACTTTATGCAGATGCATCTTCTGGGATTCTTTCAGTTCTATAATGGTAAGCCCGTTCAGCTTATCGCTGTGCTTTAATTAAGATTCGAGTTGGGTTGACATGGCCGAGTTTTTCCCCTCTTCGCATTGCACTAATTAAACTGTTATTCTTTCTCTTTTCAACTTGTGTTGTGCAGACAATTCAAAAAAGAATGACACCCAAGCTTTCATATGCTGCGACAGGCCAAAGGACGTTCGGTTGATCATTGTCTCATTCCGTGGCACAGAAATGTTTAATGCTGCTGATTGGTTGACAGACCTGGACCTTTCTTGGATCTCCTTTGGTGAAATTGGAAGAGTTCATTTGGGATTCATGAAAGGTCTTGGCCTTCACCAAGAAGAAACGAATGGAGTTCGACCAAAGGATTATTCTGCTGGGAATAAGAACAATCTGGCATACTACACCATAAGAGAAAGGCTGAAAATGCTGCTGGAAGAAAACCCAGATGCCAAGATATTAGTAACAGGTCATAGCTTAGGAGGGGCGCTTGCAATCCTGTTTGTTGCTGGACTTGTGTATCACCAAGAAGCTGCCTTGCTGAACCACTTGTTGGGTGTGTACACATTTGGGCAGCCCAGAGTTGGAGATGAGAATTTTGGGAGATTCATGGATGCAAAGTTGAAAGAGAAGTACTTCAGAGTGGTTTATAGGTATGACATTGTTCCCAGGTTGCCTTTCGGAGATCCCATTACACAGTTTGCCCACTTTGGAAATTGCATCTATTACAGTAGCTGGTACAAGGCACAGGTAAAGCTTGAGTTTTAAGAAAAACAAAATTTAGAACTTGTAACAGTTGGTGATCAGTTCAAATGTGTGATCTTATTGATTTTGCATTTTGTGGAATAACAGGTGCTGAGAGAAGAACCAAATGAGAACTACATTAATCCCTCGTTCTTCATTCCCATGCATTTCGATGCTTGCCTGGATTTGCTTAGAGCAATCTTTCTGGGTAGGAAAGAGAAAAGTTTTGAGGAGAATTCCCTCTCTTTATTTGTTAGGCTTATCTGATTCCTGGTGTGAGTAGCCACTGTCCGAGAGACTATGTCAATAGCGCAAGGCTGGGCAGAAGAACTGACCAAGCAGAAGATGAGGGAAAATCAAAAGACGATTGATTAAATTGTAAAGGGATTTAAGTATCAAAAAGAGCCTTTTAACATTGAATTGAATTTATCGCTCCCTTTTCCTGTTCATTATACTGCAAAATATATTATAATAGCTTATTGTATTTAATATCGGATTGGAATTTGGAATGGCTATTGTTAAGGACTTGGACTCTTGGCAAACCAGCAGGGATTAACAGAAACTCTGCGAAGTTTAATTTAGGCCATGTTTGGGGAGTGTTTAAAAATAAGTGCTTATTAGGGCAAGGATTACACCATTAAGCACTTATTGGTGTTTGGGAAATAAGCCCGAAATAAGTGTTTATTTTAAAAATAAGGGCTTATGTTTTAAGCCCAAATTTCCGGTTTTTTTAAGTGCTCATATAATAAGTACTTACTCAAAATTTTTTTCCCAGAATTGTCCTCAGTAAATTTTTAGAATACCCTTTTACAAAGGCACTATTGTGCAAGTAATTTTATCAAAAGCACTTTTATGAAATTAAAGTATTTTTACGAAACCACTTTTGTGAAAAGTACTTTTACAAAATCACTTTTATGAAAGCACATTTATATAAGTATTTTTACGAAAGCACCTTTAGGAAAGTACTTATACGAAAGCACTTCTATAAAAGTACTTTCATAAAAGTACTTTTATAAGAGAACTTTTACGAAAGTACTTTTATAAAAGCATTTTTGTGAAAGCACTTTATAAAAACACTTATATGAGTATTTTTATGAAAGTACTTCTATGAAAGAACTTTTATAAAAGTACTTTTAAATATTCACTTTGGATTAGATATTTTGAAAATTTGAAAGAAAATGAAGGAAAAAAGAGTCACAATTGCTTATTTAAGTGCTTATTGGAGAAAAAGACCACCAAATGCCTAAGCACTTGAAAAAGCTGTGTGCCAAATGCATATAAGTGTTTATTTGAATAAGCACATGTTTTTAAGCATTTATTTTTAGCATAAGCACTCCCAAACATGGAGCTACTCTGACATCTTATCAGCAACCAAACAAAGAATAATAATAATCAGGGATTTAGGAAAGGGATGTTGCATAAAAGAACCAACTAGTTGATTGCCTATTAGAGCTCGTAGTAAACCATGTTCAAGTCTGAACCAAGGAAGGCAAATGATCTGAATCATGTTATTAAGGTGTTCTTATATTTTCTTATATTTATGATTAGTGGATTAAGGTTTACTTATTTCAGCATTATAAAAATAAATTTGAAAAAAAATAAAACAATAAAAATATATTTACTTATAATATTTTCTGAAATCAAGAAATTTTGATTATTTATGTGGTTAAATTCAAAAATCTTTCACAATAACTCTCAACCCAAAAAAAAAATATTTTCTTTCTTTACTTATATAATATAACTAGGCATGACCCCGTACTAAGTACAGGTCCATGATCTGAATTATTTCAATCTTTTAAATATTCTATATTAGAAATTTAGGTTAGTTTTTTTTTATTTCATTTTTATTTGATTTAAGAGATTTATCATATTTTATCTAGAAGAATGGCCCACATCATTTATTACTTCATCCGAGACCATAACTTGTACTTGTATGGTAAGTGTGATTTGAATATTTTTGGAAGGTGGAGATATTTTAAGAAGCATTAGATAATTGAGTATTTTGTGAGAGTATAGACTTATAGATAAAGTTAAAAATTATATATATATATATATATATATATATATATATATAAGTTTAGACAAATAGTGTAGAAAGATGGAGAGATGATTCTAACATAGACAATTACATTTTATACATGTAATACATATCCAATTAATTTTTATTTAAATAGTTGGTTTTATTTTTTTTATCACATTTTAATTAACTTAAATTAAGTTATTAGCTTCATTAGGTTATTTAAACATTTTACTAATTATTCTATCATTTTATTTTTTTGGAATAATCATTTTTAATAATTATTGGATCATTTTGTATTTCTTTTTATAAACTTAATAATGTATATTTATATATTAATTGCATACATGAATTAATGAATTGAATAATTAATTTATGGACTAAGTTATTAATTTAGCTTAATTAGATAAGTTATTAATTGAATCAAATTATTTAAGTTAAAGTAATTAACTTTAATTGAATTAAGGGGCCAATTTAAATTCGACGACCTATATGGTGTACAGATTAAACATAAACGAATCAACTTATGTGGACCTATAAATGGAACACCACGTGTCTGAATGAGGGAGCCTTCAGGCTGATGGCCTTCCTTATAGGAAATAAGAGGAGAGGTATAAGTGCTAATAAACCTCCCCTGGTATTTATGTTATATACTAAGACCACCCCTTTATTTTATAAAATGGACTAAGACCTCTTTGTTGGGTAATGTCATTACAATAGAGGAACCCTGACATCCCATACTACTGAATAGAAAGTAACCTCAATGCACCAGCCAATACCCCTCCATCGTTCCCTAAAACGTCATGCCAGAAGTGATTGGAAGTTAACGATGAAGATGGGCGGTGTTCTGCAACAACTAATGCCAAATTGTTCCATGATTTCCACCCTTTTCAATTCCAAGGTCCTTATTTGAGTAATCAATTTCTCAATTAACAAAACTATTATGTTATTCAAACTTTTACTAACAAAAAGAAGATCAAACCATTATTGAAGCCTTCCGGTTCTGGTTTAGAGTGGGGAAATTAAAAATAAAAAAGTACCATTTGCAAAAAAAAAAAAAGAAGATGATGAGACGAACGGACTGAAGCCTTCCATTCTAGTCTCTCAGAACTTGTGATTTGTGCATCTCCAGGTAACGATGGCAACAAAGCGGGGGAGCTCAAAATAGAAAACGAAGGATCCGATTGTTGTTGATGTTGCGAGGTTAGGATATTTTTAATTTATCACTTTATTTGCAGTTATAATTTCTTCATTTATCGGTAGGGCATCCCGTCCCGGCACTTCCATTGGATTGCCGTTTCAGTGGTTTGGTTTAAAAATTTAAAGAATAATGAAGGACAGGAAAGTCTTTTTATTGATTCTGTTAGATTTAACAGTATCTTATTATGACATGGCATGGGAGGTTTAAGTCCTAGGGGAGGTATAAGTATTCATCTTAAACTTCGGGGGAGGTTTAAGTCATTTACCCAAAAACTAATACAACAAAAATAAAAATTATTAATACAACATACGAGTGAAATTACCAAATTGCACTTGTATGAATTTGTTCGCTTACGGAGAAACCACCCCAACACCTGCCCTCTTGGACCCCAAAATACTAATCATAGCACACAGCATATACATAAAATTCGGCCACAATCCAGGCTAAGCGTGGAGGCAAGGGTGGTTGAAGAGGTGAGATGTAAAGTATATGTAACAAATACTTTTTAATATGAATCTTATGTTTTTTTTTTTTAAATATTTATCACTAAAACCTAATTTATAAATGATTTTTTTTTTTTTTGAAAGCCCTAGGGCTAATTCAATTCAACCAATCCAAATAACAATAATTCCCCTCCAATAACATAACACAGGAGAGAGAAAGGGATGCAAGCCAGGCTGGGTTAGTTAGGTCCAGTTGATGTTAACCCAACCCAACCCGAGCCATAGAACCTCCAACCCAAAGACTTCAGGTTGGGGACAAGTTTTTATATACATATAAATATAAATCAATTTACACTTTCCAAAAGTAAATAAAAAACACCATCTTTATGCATATTAACAATAGAATGCCCCCTAGGCCCTACTCATAAAAAATAAAATAAAATAAAAAATAGAGTGCCAAAAATATAGGCCTCGATAAACAATAATTGCATTGGAGCCACTTTGTCTTCACAGTATCCGAGTTTTTTATGGAAACAGGAATATGGCAAAATACAAATATTTACACTCTCAGTCTCTCATTCTCTGGCATCTTTCATGCGTGCAATCTATAGCTAATATACAATAGCCATAATATCACAAGCCTTTATTAGGTAGAGCTGCAAAGATATCTGATTTGAATCAGATATACTTAGATCCAAATTTGATCTATTAATATTCAGATTCAAGTATGTGGTTCAGATATTGTATAGCATAAATAAATAAAAATAAAAAATCGGAATATTATATATTATTAATAAAATGAACTGAAAACAACTTTTATATTGTATACCATTAATAAAATAACTTGAAATAACTTCTAGTTGACCTAAAACTCTGAATCATTAGTAAGCATATAAAAATGAAGCCAACTTTGCTATAGGTATATATTAATTTTATGGGTGTAAGCATATATATTATTAATTATCAGAATAGATTTTTCTTTTTTTATAATTGCTATCAAAATGGATTTGGATGGAAACATATTCAATCCAATTATAAACAGATCAGATTTGAATTCTAATTCAGACCAAATGGATACCATTTGCAGCTCTACCTTTAGATAGTGTTGTCAAGAACATCAAACCCGGTTTGCTACACTCTCATAGCTCCATGCTCTTTTCACACAAACCTAACAAGCATCGTACAAATGCAGTGTGTAGTGAATGGCCACCCTGCATCATATAGTTTAATTACTAAAATGATTGAATTTCTTTCCTCAGCTTGTGTTTGATACCACAGAAAGCTTGTCAAATAAAACCAATAAAGTGGTCATTTCATATAGATTTGAAGTAGATTTACATCTAGAAACCGGAGGAATCACAACAATTGCAAGACTTAGCCACAACAACAGTAAAAAAAAATTGCCAAGCTGGGAAACCTCTAGCAGAAGCACTGTTGGTTGAAATGACATTTATTAAGGCAGTATTATGTACTCAATTATTTATACAGATTCAGTTAATGTGGGTCATCTTTTTTTTTTTTGATAAATAACAAATACTTTTATTAAGAGATATTAATATAGAAAAATACAAAGGGAAGGGTAAAAACTCTTGACCCTCCCAAGAGAATATTTCAGATTACAATGTTGCCCAGAACAAATTATCTCTTCCCACCCCCTGTTTAGCCAATGAATCTGCCAAAGAATTGGCACACCTCTTAGTCCACTGAAATTTGACTTCCATATTTTGTATGAGATATCTAATTTTCTTCTTTTCATTCAGAAACTTCCACAAACTA